CGGCCGGGGGGAGTGGCAGTACCCAATTTCCACTACGTGCTTTTGGTTTTATTGGTTTCAAGCGAGTTGGGCCCCTCTGAAAAGCAGAGGCGCTCTCTGGTTTAACAGGACACAAAGCGTGGAGCAGCAGTGTCAGCCCTCATTTTCCCCATAGAGCTGTGCTTGCCGTGCACCTGCTAAACTGAGGAGAAGGGTGTAGTTAGGGGCAGTTACAATGCAGGACTGGTTCTTGTGCTTGAGGAAATAACCTTTTTAGTGTAAAAAGCCGGTGATGGAACAGTGGGGATTGGTACCCGACAGCTCTCCCTTTGCCATCCATCTCCAGGCAGCTGCTCCTCCCTCTTGTCTTGCTCTTCTTTGCCACCACAAGCTGTGTGTTCCAAGAACAGACTCCTAGCATCTGATGGATGTTATCAGCCAATTTGCTACTGACTGTTCTAGCAGCACGAGCACACGTGTGTTGTTGAAGGTCGGTGGCTGGGTGTTTTGCCTCAGGCGGTCTGGTGACAGGGGTGGTGTGGCAGCACGGGTGTCACGAGAACCAGAACCGTCTCACAGTGGCTCCTGGCGTGCATTGACCTTTGTCGACCTCTATCGTCTCCCCAGCCCCTTGAGAGGCCAAATCCAGAACTGGCAGTGACATGAACCACTCCAGCCGTGACCATCTGCTGCAGAGCTTTTGTGTTCTGCTGCCAGGCAGCTTTTGAATTCAAAGGTGAAACTTGTCCCTTCAGAAGACTTGTGTCTCCCTGTGTGGCATCAGAGTTGTGCCTGCTGTAGTTCAGGGGTGCCCCAGGACCCCAAGGTGTGTGGATGGAGGGGGCTTACAGCTCCCCGTACACTTGCAGCCAGAGGCTGGGCTGGGTTTAGCCGGGTGAAGCTCATGTTTCTGACCCCTCTTGAAAGGTCCTGCCAATACTTTGCATCTCCAAGAGTGGAACTGCAGCCTGGGGAGGTTTGTCCCATGCTCCATCCCTGGTTACTTTAGGGAATTAACAGTGCTTGCCTCCTCTGCCCAAGCCCTTGTCCTGTGCTTGCTCTGGTGCAGTGCGGCGGGCGGCACAGTGCTGCGGGCTGAAAGAAGCAGGAGAAGATGAGGAGTGGACGGTGTACTGGACAGACAACTCGGTCTCTCTGAAGCACATCAAGGAGATGAAGCGTTTCCAGGTAAACACCCCACATGAAGGCTGCCCAGCAGGATGAGCTCAGGAGGGAGGGCGAGACGGGGGCTGTTAGTGGAACAACAGTGAAACAGAAGTATCCAAACTAGCACCCGTGCCCCCCTTCTCTGCACTGGTTCCAGAGGACAAAGGTTGTTCACTTGGGTTGTGTCGCTGCGATGGTGCCATCAGCAGCACTTTGGCAGTGAGTGCTGTGGACTGGAAAGCTGCCAGCCCCTTCCGCGTAGCACGAAATAAATGGTTCTTGATGACAAATGGCTCCCGTCCTGAAGATGTGGTACCCCAGGGAGGGAGAGCTTCAGGGCCGAGATAGAACGAGCTGATAAATCACACTGCTGAAGTTCAGATAAAGCAGTTGCAGCGTAACCTTGCCCCTGAGCAGACGTTCAAGGCCCAGCTTCCTGTTCTGCGTGCGGGCTTCTCCAGGCATGGCTTTCCTCAGGTCTGCAGGAGGATCCCTGCTATTCCTTTGCTGATTCTGTTTTGGTTTTTTTTTTTGTCTGCACCTCTTTCAGAAGATCAACCATTTCCCAGGCATGATAGAGATCTGCCGCAAGGACTTGCTGGCTCACAACCTCAACCGCATGCTCAAGCTCTTCCCCAAGGAGTACAACATATTTCCCCGCACCTGGTGCCTGCCAGCTGAGTAAGTGATACCCATCAGTGCACCTGAGGGCAAGGGGATGGAATGAGGGTGTGGGAGCCTCTGTGCTTGACAGCCAGGGCTGGGCTGGGGGCACCTCACTGAGATCTCATCTCCTGGCCCGAGGCTTCGTAACCTTCCCTGAAACTGAACGGGGTGTTGAGACCCGTTTTTAGTATCTCACAGCACACGGGTGGCAGAGGGCAGTGGGAGGGGGCAGGTCACTGTGCTAGTACGTACGTCATTACATGTAAACCACCACCGACCTCCTCCAGCTCTGGGGCAGAAGACCTGGCTTCTCTGATCATACCCAGGCAAGCAATGACAGGATCGTAGCTGGAAGAGACCAAAGAGCACTCAAAGTTTGGGTGGTTGTAAGGAGACAAGATACCCGTTCTTTCACGGATTTTATCCTTACCACTTCCTGAACAAGACCTGGAAGTAGGGCTCCCATCACTTGTTCTGTAGCTGAGCTCTCCTCACAGTTAGAATGACTTCCTTAGTACCTGACCCAAAGCATCGTTGATGAAATATCAACACTTAGTACTTCTCTCCTTTGCACTGCCCTAGGAGAACAGTGGCTTGCGGCATTTCGCTCACAGTGTGTCATGTCCAGGAAGCCTATCACCACGTGTGCCCTCAGTCTTCCCATTTCTGGAGAAGACAGACCTAGTTCTCTCATCTTTCTTTCTGGGCTGCATTTCCTGGACATGGATTGCTCTTGGAGCTGTTCTCGGGGACTTGTCCTGTTTGCCTCTTGCTTTTCCTAAATGCGGCACCCGCTAGAGAGACGGTGCTTCTCCACCTACAGCGAAGTAACCTCCTGGCACACGGGCCCGGCTCTTCCAAGCACTGTGCTCCCACTGGAGCTGCTCTGGAAGATCAGCCTCATAGTGCGACGTGGGGGCTCAGCTCACAAGCCTCTGTCCCTGCCTCCCGCCCACTTTGGGATGACCTGCCCTAAAAGGGAGACTTGTGACCTCCTCCTTTGCAGCTAGGGCTTGTGTATTGTCTCCTGCTCTCTCTGTGGCAGCAGAGCCAAAATCCTGGCTCCTGCATGCACAGTGGTGAGCACGTCCTAGGGACCCCTTGGTAATAGTGGAGCTGTGTCCCTGGGAGTGTTCAAAAAATGTAGAGATGTGGCACTTCAGGACATGGTTTGTTGATCATGGTTATGTTGGGTTGATGGTTGGACTAGATGATCTTAGAGGTCTTTTCCAACCTTAATGATTCTCTGATTCTGTTCTAAAAGGTGGAGCCAGAAGAGCTTTGCCAGGCTGCACAAGGACCAGTCTGCAGCTGCGGTAGATCAGAAATAGTTGCACTACTCCTCTGCAGAGGTGCTTGGTCTGCACAGGCCCACAGCACCACAGTTTGACTACCCAGCTGTTGGGAGAGCAGGCAGAGGCTGTTTTTTTGTAGCTTGTAACAGTCACCCCTTCTTTGCGCAGCTACAGAGATTTCCAGGCCTACAGATGTGCGAGGAAAAACAGAACGTTCATCTGCAAGCCAGAGAACAGCTGCCAGGGGAAGGGGATCTTCGTAACACATAATCCAGAGGAGATCAAACATGCAGAGCACATGATCTGCCAGCAGTATATCTCCAAGGTAACGGGGACAGTCTTGAAACACAGGTGGAGGATTGCAGCCTCCCAGCTCTTCCAGCATCCCACGTCCTCTGTGCATCCTTTGCCCTAAGTCTTCCCGGATCTGCCGAGGGCACCAGGGAAGCTGCAGCACTGTGAGGCACGGCGACTGCTCGCCTTTTCCCTCGCCGCTGAGCTGCCGAGGAGCAGCACAAGCAGCACAGACATGCTGGCCAACCGCAAGGAATGGGCAGCAACGTTTCTTTGTCTCACGCCTGCTCCTGCCTTTTTCTCTCTCACAGCCTTTTCTTATTGATGGCTTTAAATTTGACATGCGTGTCTATGTGCTGATCACGTCTTGTGACCCACTGAGGATTTTTGTCTACAAGGAGGGTCTGGTCCGGTTTGCCACCATGAAGTACGTCGATCCCAGCAGCAGAAACCCGGTAAAAAAGAGAATTTTCAAAAAACTCACACAGTATATGTAGGTGTTAGTCGCTAATTTGTCCTGGGAGCATTCCAGACCTTGAAGAGACAACAGCTGGTGGGTTTCATGGGACACAGCTTTCTTTTTTTCCTGTACTCCCCTCCCTCTGTACCTTCTCCTCCTCATGGGAGGTATTTCAGGAGTGTCTGAAGTAGATCTGCTCCCAGACCTCATGTTTGGGCTTTTACCAACATTATCACAGAATCATGGAGTTGATCCACTTGGATGGAACTTTAGAAGGTCTCGATTCCCACCTTCTGCTCAAAAGCGGGTCAACAATAAATTCAGATCTTGTTTCTTGGGATTTCGCCCAGTCAGGTGTTGAAAACCTGCAAAGTATGGAGACCCCACGGTGTTTCCGGACAACACTCCTACTGCCTCTTGCCTTTATGAGTGTTCTCTAGTCCACACCATTCCTTGTCTGCCTGTGCTTCAGGAGGGACCTGGGGATTACCTGGTGGTGGTGGCACAGCCTAGGAGAGCCAGGGAGGGGAGCGGGGAAGGCCATTGCAGAGCGTGGCTGTGTCCAGCTCCAAGCAGGAGTCTGCAACCTTTAAAACCCCACCAGAGGATGGACTGCAGTGCTGGATCGCTGCGCTACAGTCACAGGCTGCCCCAAGAGACCCCAGGCTTCTGGCTATCTGCCCACTTGCCCCAGAGCTGAGTACATACGTGCCCTCCCTCCTGCTGATATGTCCTGTCTTGGAGAGGTCTTCTGCTCTGGGTCAGCCAAGGAAGAATCTGCAGAAATTTGCTGCAGCTTCTGTCCTGAGGAGCCCCTTGTTTGTCAGCGAGGCCACGGCTGGATTGGCATTTGTGAGCCGAGCCCTGTGCTGTCCTCCAGAGATAAGGGCAGAGGTGTGGAGAGGGTGGAGCTCTGTGAGCTCCAGCTTCTGGCTAGAGAGGGAATCCCTGGCCTGGTCAACTCTGGTGCGAGTCACTGCCCTAGGGAAGAGGCAGAAGCGGGCGAAGTCAGTGGATAGATCAGGGGCTGCTCCTGTTTGTGCTGTGCATAAGAGTAAATGAAAGTCTCTTTGCAGTTCCTCTCTCAGGATGATATCTGCATGCATTTGACCAATTATGCTATCAACAAACATAACGAAAACTTCATCCAGGATGACATGACGGGCAGTAAGAGGTATTGTCTTCACCAGGTACTGCCATGCCTGGTGCACATCCTGCAGGAAAGCTGCGTTTGGGACGCTGGTTTACTTCCATCTTTCCTGGGGCAAACGTGGTACCACAGGTCGGCTCTTACCCGCTGCTGTCCTCCACACAGGAAACTGTCCACCCTGAACGCCTGGATGACGGATAACAACTATGACACAGAAAAGCTTTGGGAAGCTATTGAAGATATTATTATAAAGACTCTTATTTCAGTTCACCCTGTTGTGAAGCACAATTACCAAAGCTGCTTTCCAAACCACACTGCTGGCTGTGCCTGCTTTGAGATACTGGGCTTTGATATTTTGCTGGACAGAAAGTTGAAGCCATGGCTGCTAGAGGTAAGGAAGGAGTCTCCTGCTGTGTCGAAGCAGCAAATACCTGAAAGCTGGCTTGTTGGAGGGAGGCTCCAGACAAGTAGCCAAGCAACCTGCTGCAGGCTCAGGGGGATCTAAGAGCATGTTCTGTGTAGATCTGCACTAACAGCAGGGACCTTCCTAAACCTTAGCACTCCTTCACCTGTAACGGCGTCCTGAATTTCTGATTTTGCAGTCCTGCGAGGTGCAGGGTCTGCAGCGTGGGTGGGTGGGTGTTACGCTGCGGAAGGACAGAACCAGCCCCTGCATGCAGCCTCCTGCCACGGGGAAGCCAGCGGTGGGGCAGCCTGGGGCCAGCAAGCTGGCTGTTGGCCACGCTTCTGGGGAGCTGGGAGTTGCCAGGTTAGATCAGCTGCTTCTTTTGGCAGGTGAACCACTCCCCCAGCTTCACCACAGACTCTCGCCTCGATCGTGAGGTAAAGGATGCTCTCCTCTGCGATACCCTGAACCTGATAAACGTGCATGCCTGTGACAAAAGGAAGGTGCTGGAGGAAGACAAACAGCGGGCAAAGGAGCGGCTCCTCCAGGCCCGTCAGGCCCCCCGTGCATCCAGGTACAGCTCTTCCCTGCAGTGAGAAAAGATGGGGCGTGGAGGAGCAGGATAGAACCACGGCTGGCTTGCTCCAAGTTAAAGCTCCCGGAGGCCAGGGCACTGTGCAGCACCTGAGATGAGATCTCCCAAGCTGTCTGCATCCCGCAGGGTGGCAGACACGCCTGGAATCGGCCGATTTTTCTGAACTTCTCTTGCGACTACATGAGTTGGGTGAAAAGGCCAAGGGGCAGGGGGCAGATCTGGAAGTGCTAAACCAGCACTCCACAGGTAGAGGATGAAGAAGCGCAGGTCGCGCTGGTTCCCTGCAGCGCGCCAGGGAGAACGGGCTCCCAAACGGGGAAGGTGCTGGCCAGACCCTTGTCCTGCAGCCAGGACAGCACCCGGTGCCTCCCCCCGCAGCCCCCTACCCGTACTTTCTCCTGCTTTGCAGACACAAGGAGCTGGAGACCCACCAGGCCGCCTGGCTGTCGCAGGCAGAGAAGTATGAGAACTCACACCTGGGCGGGTTCCGGCGCATTTATCCGGCATGTGGAACTGAGAAATACGAGCCGTTTTTCAAGCAGAGTAGCTCCCTCTTCCAGGAAACAGTGACATCCAAAGCACGAGAGGACTGTGCCAGGTATGCTGCTCCTGTGGAAAACTACTGCTCGCAGGGGTGGCACAGGGACCGCTCGCTTCTGATCCCTCCTTGGGAGCGACTCGGCTGCTTAACAGTCACCTGGTGAGAGGTGTAAGGGACCGAGTCTGCGCGGGCTCTGTCAGCACCGCAAAACCTTTTGTACGTACCCTAGAGAGGCAAATGCAGTATTGCACTGACTTCTGGACTCTGGAGGCACCGTGTTAGAAGTGTCCTGCACCCCTGTGGCAGGCACAGCCTAATTCAAGGTCATTTCTTAACAGTGGTGAGAGTCTCTTTTAAAAGCCCTCCTGGGCCATTTCTTGGCATTCTTCTATTACGGTCTATTCACTGTGCAGAACTTCTGACTGCAGTTAAACATCCTAAGATCGAAGGCTTTTGCTCTCACAACTCTTTACCGAATCAGTGACTAAGACTACTGTTCTATGGCAGGCAGCAACTGCAGGAAATTCGCCTGAAAAGAAAGAAGTTGGAAGCTGTTACCATAAAGAAAAAAAAGAAAACAAAGAGGAAAGAAGACCTGCACGGAGAGTCAGCTGGGGACAAATCCCAGACCCATAAAAAAACCACAGCTCCGACAACCTGCCGCAGTTGTCGAAGCACTAGGACATGGGACACAAAGGTACCCTGCTCTTGTCAGTGGTTGTCCTCAGGGCTCTCAAGAGCAGTAACGTCGCTCTGGGAACAGGGCTGGGCTGTGGGTGCCTTCCAAGGAACAGAACTACGAGGTTGGACTCTCCGTGGTGACGGTGAAGTCTGTAATTCTCCTCAGGGCTTGGAGCAGGCTGTGGCTTTGTCTCTCACGCATTACTACAGCTTCAACTTCGCTGTAACTCGGGTCTTTCTCTCCTAAGTGCGTGCACTACGACTCTACGCAGCCTCAGGATATTGTGGAACGCGAGGAGAAGAGAAGAGTGAATGCTCTTCTGCAGCGCGAGAACCGTATCCGAAGACTGGGTATCATAGATCAGCTCTCTCAGCTGCTCCCCAAGACTGACAGACCAGCCGACACCCAGAGACCTGGCATGGTTATCCCCGACAACCAGGTAACTGAAGATTCCCCAGATTCATCCTGCAGTGCCAACACGATGGGCACTGAGTGTCTCTGGTGTGGCTCAGTTAAATTAGATCCACTCTAGTGTAAGGGGCCGTGGGCTTTCATACAGTTACTGACTGTGTCCCTTTCCAACAGATGTGCTGCACAGAGCCCTTGAGCACCTTTTCCCAGAAGATGGGTTTAAGATAGAACATAGGAAGTTCCACCTCAACATGAGGAGAAACTTGTTGGCCGTGCGGGTGCCGGAGCCCTGGCACAGGCTGCCCAGAGAGGGTGCGGAGTCTCCTGCTCTGGAGACTTTCAAACCCATCTTGGACAGGTTCCTGTGTGGCTGCTCTGGGTCACCCTGCTCTGGCAGGGGGGTTGACTTGGATGATCTTTTGAGGTCCCTTCCAACCCCCAACATTCTGTGATTCTGTGAGTTTGGGCTGAGCGAGACTGTCCCAAACCGACCCTTGGCCACCGTGCCAATTCCCAAACCTGGCTACTGGGCTAAAACCAGACCAGGAGGAAGCCCACAGTCTGTTGCCTGCGGGCTCCGTTAGCCCATGAGGGCGGTTGTGAAGCGTTGATGGTGGCTGTACCTGCTGTGTCAGGGAAGGGCTAGATCTGGGCCTGTGATTAACAAAAAAACGTGCAAGGGCCGTTGCCTTCCAGTGGCACCACCTGTTCCCAGAGAGGCCTCTGGGAGGGTGACACCTCAGAAGGATGCTGACGAACGCAAGGCACCAGAGCTGCAGGAATTATTTACAGCCTAGGAGTCCTCTAGTGCTTTACAAGAAATTGGAAATAGTCCATTTAGTTTAACAAAAGAAGTCTGAACTCTGTAAGAACTGATGGTAGCTGCCTTTTCCTCTGACAAAACAGAACGGAACTCAAAACTCAAACTCTGCCTAAAATCTGAGTAATGTTTTCAGCAGTAAAGGATTATCTGGGCCTGGGTCAGAGCCTTCATCGCTGAGTCTTCCCAGCCCACTCTGGCATGTCTTTCCACAAACCCTGCTCAGCCCGGTGTGATGGGCAGAGGGTGGGATTCTTGTTGCTGCTGCAGGCAGATCAGGTCGCTGCCCTGAGCCCTTAGAGGATTTGAGTCCAGCTCGGTGACTGTGGCGTGCCGGGGAGAAAGCGCAGGGCAATGCTTTAGTGAGCGCCTGTTGACGACTTGAGGTTTGGTTCCTGTCTCCTGCCAAGGCCTCCAGAGCTAAGCTGCAGCCACTTTCTTTACTTCCAGTTTCTCTGGGACACGTTCAGGGGCCACAGGTCGCTGCCCTGAGCCCTTAGAGGATTTGAGTCCAGCTCGGTGACTGTGGCGTGCCGGGGAGAAAGCGCAGGGCAATGCTTTAGTGAGCGCCTGTTGACGACTTGAGGTTTGGTTCCTGTCTCCTGCCAAGGCCTCCAGAGCTAAGCTGCAGCCACTTTCTTTACTTCCAGTTTCTCTGGGACACGTTCAGGGGCCAGGACACACACCGCTTACCGGCGCTCGTGCCCCTCTCCCTCCTGGGAGCTCCAGCTTGGCCGTTGGCACGGCAGGTGGTGCACAACCCCAGCGCTGCGACCCGGCCGCCAGCCAGTCTGGCCACGGATCCTGCCACCCCGAG